TAATGAAAGCTAGTTTTACTGTATCAGAATTCAGGTGAAGTAACTCAGCTTCTTGTCATATCTGCTGGGAGTGTTTTAGGCTTCGGGTGGACAGGGTTTTTTTATGCACACATAATGTTGTGTGGAAGGCTATTGGAATGTTTCCAGTAGTTAGATGGGTGCATGAGACACTGCATTGGAAAAATAAAAACTGCAAAACGTCAAAAGTAGAACACTGTATACTTAATAAATTTGGGAGGTCCCAGAGTATGCTGCAGTAGGTAACATCCAGTCACTGAGTTTAAAATTCTGTTGCTAAGCACCTATAACAGCCTGGCTTTAGATATAAATGGGATAATTAACCAGTTTTACATATGAAGATAGTTTACTTACCAGGACCTGTGAAAATATTAGTAGAAATCTCTTCTGTGACTGGAGAAAACAAGCCTGAAGAAGTCACAGCAATTATTCCAACCTGGCCTTGAAGACTATATTTATAATAAAAAGCTTGCATTATAAAGTGGTGGTGTGGAGTTTGAAAAACATAGCACAGTGTCTGCCAGTACCTGCTCCATAGTAATGGTGCGTAGTGATGAATGATAGTAATTTCCTGAACTAGAAAAGTAATAGTTTTTCTACATGACCATCATGTTTCTGTGTGAAGTAACAATGAGCCCATTAATGGAAGGATACCATTACCCTTATTGCAATGGCATCTTACCTGTGAAAAGGGGATATGCAAAGCGATATTATATGTAATCACTTCTTACATGCAGTTCTCCGGTGGTACTAATGTCAAGTTTCACAGTTGACTGTCACTCATATTGCAGATCTGTTTCCCAGTCCTCACAGGGATGTCGCATGTTTGGTAAGAATGGTTTTTCTTTTGGTTAGTGAAGTTGGTCAAAATTACAGAGAGGAAATCATGTCAGATCATCTTGCATGTTACACACGTACAGTATTTGTGGAAAGAGGAGCAATAACGCTGCAGTGTGTTAAAAGATTTTCCTTGAACATCACTTCTGCATCTTTCTCCATAAAAAAACTGCACATCCAGGAGATGCTGAAGAATCTTACTCATGGCATCAAAATGCTGTGCTGTAAAACTACAATTAAATACAATCTAAAAAACTATCACTTTTTAGTGCCATTTCAACAACCCAGTCATTCACTTGAAAACAGAGAGCCTAGTGCGGCGTATACAGATTTCCTGTTTTGTCAGACAAGCAGTTCAAAACACAGATAGTGAATTCAACGTGTGTCAAATAAATGCAGAAAATCCTGATATTAGAGAAGCAGAGACCATTGTTTTGTTTTTGAAATGAAAAGAATACATTTTCTGTCAGTACCCTCACTGAACAACTTATCATTTTAGTTCTACCCTGTATTGTTAGCTTTCTTGGCTGTAACAAAGAAATTTCCACTTGCATGATTTTAAATGCTATGGATCATTATTAATTATGTATTTCTTTGGGTTCAAGTGCAACAAATTCTAGGTTAAAAGTTTGATGATTTACTGTATAATCTTGAACTAGTAAATCCTGAAATATATTGCTGGCTAATGCTTGTGGCTGGCTAGTGGATGCAACAAAATTTCAGTGATTATATAGCAACTTCAGTGTTCATTTTGTCGTGGCTAGAATGTGATACAGACTAAATTAATTCAGACAAATCATCCAAATTTAAGTAATCTTTTAATATTACAATTATTCTGAACAGGGTAGTAGTTAAATAGGTAATCTGGTAGTTAGGGAACAGAATCACCCTTCCTGCAATGGAGTAGGTACAGTATTAAATAAGAAGATTGTCACAGAGTCAGTCAGTCTTGGTCAGGGGTCCAGTCAGTCCTGAGTTCGTTCCCCCTTCCCCCCAGGCCTGGGTTTGTAAGAGCACAATTCACTGTCACAGTAGCCTTCTTCTTCTTCCTTATCCTTCAGCCTTACCCTTTTTGTCCACAGCTTTCTTAGGCTGTTACGTCAATTTCCGAACTTAGCTTCCTGTCTCCAGTTTTAGGAGACAACACCTTGAGATGTACCCAAAAACAGGAAACATCTTGGCCAAATTATATAAGCCCATTGTTCAGCTCACGTGAACTTAAAAGTGAACCCCCAAACACTCTATTCTATTACATAATCCATATTAACATGTAACTTAAACCACTACACTTTTCTCCCAGAGCTCGTGTCTTAGCCAATATCAGAGCCAGACTAGTGCTTTTACACAGTCTCCATGCTTCTGTATTGTATTGTCAACCTTTCGCCGCCCCTGCCTTCCCCACAGAGGGGCTATATGATACATTTCTTTGCTTCTCTTTGTTTCTGTCACTTTGTTCTGACGTTATTTTCTGCTCACCAGTGGATAATTGGCGCAGTTACACTTTATACTGCAGAGTTTCTTTCAATATGTTTAACCAGATGGACACCTTATATGTAGTCCTTTATCGAGTGAGCTTGTCTTGCAACTAAATGCCGCATGGGTCAGCAACCCAATTGTTCACTGCTGACCAGGCTGAGTCTGTTTTACTTGCATAAAGAATGGAGGTAAGCCTCCTCTGTATGTGAAGGGTGCAGCAGTTTAAACCTGTTATTGACAGGACCTGCAGAATATAATTTGAATATTGGCTAATCTTGGCAAAGGAAAACAGTAGTATTATTGTTATTGACAAAACTGTCAAAGACAATGTCAAAACCTCCTCAAAATGACCCGAGCACCTCACTTCTCCTTATAGATTAGAATGCAAATGGTCCTGAGATATTTTCAGTTTGACAGAGATACGAGAGAAAAAAGAGAAGAACTAGTTTGATGGTTGTAATAAAGAGCTGACTGAAGAGAATGAAAGTGCTTTTTCTTTCTTTTTTATAACAGTGCAGTTGAAGTTCTAACAAGGCAAAGCCTTTTTCAAAAGTGTGTTTGATATACATGAGTAAACACACATTCCCCATGCTAATTTTCAGCACCTCAGTTAATCTCTTGCCTGCCAAGTGTAGGAATAGCAGACAGTTGACCCAGTGACTCCAGATGCCAAACGGGGCCGGTCCCTGATTGGACTCCATGGTCTTTCAGTTAGCTTAATTGGCTGAGACAGAAGTATGAGTGAGGCAAGAGAAATGAGAGGAGAATGCTGGAATTGGAATAAAATTGAACGCTAGATTGTGCACGCCTCATTATTTGTCGATAGGTCTGCAGGGGGCTGAAGGGCTGCCATATCTCTGCAGCAAAACAAAACAAGTTTAATGTAACTCTGACTTTGGATACATTTTAAAAGTGTGATAATCTGCAGAAGATGTAGATTCTTCAGTATGCATATAGTAAAAAAAAAAAAATTCTGATGCAGTGAGGGTTTATGAGCTCTGGAAGGTGGAAAGGCTGTTTAATTTCAGCAGTGAAATAATTGGCAGTAAAAATGTAAATTTAAAAGCAGTTTAATCTTTATTCATTTGACTTGTCAGCAAAACTGCATTCATGCATTTTCATGTGTATTTTATGAATGAATTTATTATATTTGTAAGTGAAGTCCTCTAGTCTTCAGTGTGGATTTTTTAACGTAATTTTATTGTTTTAAAGAACCAAATCTGTTTAATCAATAGGTTTTACAGATGAACTGCTGTACTTCAGCTTGAGTTAAGCTTAAGATTTTGTTTTGTTAACTGTCTAAGCATAAGCATAAACTTTATTGCCAAGTATTATCAAAAATACAAGGAGTTTGACTCCAGCCCAATGGCCCCCGATGTGCATAGCAATAAAAACAAAATTAATACTAAATGTATATAAGTTAAAAATCAGAAGTTGAAAGAGCAAACATAGACTAGCCGTTCAGAAGTTGTAACACCCCGGGGGAAGAATCTGTTAGTTAGTTATTAGTTAGCTGCCTAGTTATTATTATTCATATGTCATTGCATAAAGTGTAAACAAATCTCATAACATGGGCATTAAACACAGAAAAGGTGCACTGAAGCAGATGCTTTAAACAAAGGCAGAGAGAGTAACTTGTGGGTTTTCGTCCAGAAATTAAAAAAGAGCTTTTTCCAAAATCACACTGAAGTACACTGAAATAAAACTAGACACTAAAATCCATCTTTGTGATATAAACTGTAAAGAAAGTCACTTTCGGCTTTTCCCATTTAAGGGTCGCCACAGTGAATTGTCACACTGACAACTCGCATGTTGACATTTGGCACGTGTTTTGCGCCGGATGCCCTTCCTGACGCAACCCTGATTCAAACCCGGGGTGCAGCGGTGATTTGAGCTTTTCTTTCCATGCTGCCTTCCTGCCCACTGATGTCAGCTAACCTGTCACGCTCTGGGCAACTGATTTCCCACCCACCCTTCCCAGAACATGAAAAGAGGGCTGCAGGCACGCCCAGCTCCCTGTTTGGTGTGATTTCTGCTCAGTCTGTAACACCTTCACATGTTTCTGCTGCCACCTCACTCCTTTTTGCCACTTCTACACACTCAGGCTAAAAACAAAACCACACTTTTCTACACAAGGAAATTATTTGTCACAAATTTTATAAGGTAGTATTTATGTAAGGAAGAAGAGGTTTTGCGTCAGGAATAGGCTGCTTAATTTACAGTACTACTGACATTGACTTACTGTCAATGCAAGCATTTCTCAGTAGTTCAGCTGTGAAATCTGACTGTCAGCTGCAAAAGCTGTTATAATGTGTTATTTTTACAGTAGTCCAAGTGGTGGAAATGATGGCTGTGTTCTTGATTGATGGCTCAGTGTTGATTTTGGTGAACTATTTATAAATAACCTGGGGTTCATGTTTGTTCTCACTTAAGTTAAGTCACAGCCCTACTGTAATGATAAATATGTTTTTCTGCATACTGTAATTCAGTGTGGCACAACAGAGAGCTATAGATGTAGGCTCAGAGAAATGGAAGGATAGTAATGATAGTCATGGATATTTTCTACAGTGTGATGGGAAACTATGTCCTCCTCATTACAGCTGTCTTCTTCAGTTTTTTTAAGTTTCTGGAAAAACAGCTCTTGGTCTTTGTTCACTTGTGTTTTCTAGCTGTTCCTGTACCAGTTACTGAGAGGCCTGTCCTACATCCACCAGAGGTACATCCTTCACCGTGACCTAAAACCACAAAACCTGCTCATCAGTGATACTGGAGAGCTCAAACTAGCTGACTTTGGTGAGTATGACGGACACTGACTCTCTTTTTGTATACCTGGTAAGAGTATCTGTGAAATCTAGATGTAATGCTGATTAATATTTCCTCTGTCACTGTGCTTCAGTTGTGACACCATTACACAGTTAATCACTCCTGACTTCCTGTTGGAAGGTGCTTGTTTTTACAAAGAAATAGTCTTAGAATGTTAACATTTGTACAAGTATAAATGCAACAGCTACGCAACTCTGACAGATGTGTACATTAAAATACATTCACTGTTACAGAAGTATAAATCTGGCTTTAGGGTAAGGAGCTAGGGAATGGAGTAGCTCAGTGAGTGTCCTCATAAAGATAGAAGTACCAATGTGTGTGTGTTAGGACACCCTACTGAAGCGGCACCATATGGCTTGGTTCCATGTTCAGTAAACACTGCCTACATGGCTTGTCTGGCCTGCTGGGGGGCCCTTTGTACACCTCATCCATCCATCCATTCAGCATCTTTAGTGCACCCATTTCCTAACTCCTTCAAACCCTCTGTTTGCTCTACCCATGTGTCTTCCCCCCTCCGATCCTCCATCCCTCTACCCAGACAGATGGGAGGAGAAAGAGGAGGGTGGCAACTACATCAATAATGCAAACCGTGTATTAGTGCAGATGCATTACTGCAAGAAAAACGAGAAGGAGGAAGTAATGGACAAAATACCAAATGAGCAAGAATGAAAATCCCTGATCTATTAGTGGGTTGCTGGAGCTGTGCTCTCCAACAAGCATGCACAAAGCACAGAATTGGCCTTTGCCTGAGGGATGCCAGATGAGGAAGGTGAAGCTGTTTGTGTGTGTGTGTGTGTGTGTGTGTGTGTGTGGTCACCAGGGCTCCCTGTGGTCCTAGGCCTTGGTATCAGGAATACTAACGGCTGACAGCTGAGGCCTGTGGCACTGGTTGCAAGGGACACAGGCTGAGAGTCAACAAAGGAGGGGCTGAGAGGTACACAGAGAGGTGGCACAGCACTCAGTGGGGATAACAGATGAGGCATGGCTCTAATGAAGAAATGCATTGAGATGAAGATGATAAGGTTGAGCTGGCAAATTACAGTAATACATAAATGACCCTCTCAATACTTGATTTTCTTTCTTTTTGTAATACTCCTCAGTGTTTTTGCCTTGGTAGTGGTGCACTGATCTATTGGTTTGTCCATCCAATTCAGTGGCCCACACCAAGATATCACAGCAAGCTACATGATAGCTGCGTTATTTTTAACCTTCCTATGTGTAAGGCTTTAATATATCTAAATATACCATGTTTTTTGCTCCATTCAAGCCTTTCCTATTGATGGGTTTATTGAATGTTTTGGTGCTGGAAGGCTGCTTGTATCAC